GGGGCAGCGGGGGAGGAGCCGCGGGCGCGGCCGTGACGTTTTTGTTTGGGACGCCGGACCGTGTGGGTTGAGACGAGCTGGGCGGTGGTTTAGTTGATGCTCTTTGCTTTGGGGCCTCAATGGAGTGTGGCTCAGTCCCAAATGCGTAGTCCGGTCGCCCGACCAGTTTTGACAAAGTAGCGGCACACCTTGCACGACTCACGCGCTCCCGCTGAGGGCGTGCTTGCGCAGCAATGCCGCCATCACGAGCAGGAATGCTGTACTGTACTGCCGTTGATCATGTGCAGGCAGCAGCAGCTGCGGTCTTTGTTTTCGCAGCTGGCTCTGCCCTTGTTGACCCCTCCCACGCACCCTCCCCAGGCAGCAGCCGAGGGCGCCCAGCTTTCGAGCCTTGCCCTCGGGAACGGAGGCCCGGCTTGCCACAATCCCATCCCCGCCATTCTTGAAGCATTTTTGACCACAGTCCCCCATGCGCCGGAAAAAGGCGCCCTCGTTCTAATGGCTCCGCACCCAGCAATGCTCTGCGTGCGACGCGCGCCACTGCGCCCTGCTCCATCCGCGCCTGCAGTGCCGGCGTAGCGCTCGCCAAAGCAATGGCTCTTCAGGCCCTGCAGGTTTTGTAGACGCGTGCCATCATTGATCGTACACAAGCGCGCGGCCATGTGGGCGCCTCACCCCCTCGCAATGTAAGCACGCGGGCTGCCGCCTTGTGCAGATCGAGGGGCCGGCTGTTCACGGGCCAGCGCTTGGCTGCCTTTCAGAGGGAGATTCGTGCTGCGACGCAGGCGGCCTTGTCCTTCGCTGTCAGCTGCTAGATATGTGACAGACCCTCGCCAGAGGGGCTGGTGACCCATGTGGCCTGCCTGCATTGATCCCTTGGAGTGTCCCGACTTGTGCGTGGCCCCTCAGCTGGGAGTGGCAACTTCATTTGCCTCCTGCAGTGCCGCAGCCTGAGCAGAAAACAGTTGTTGACCAGGTTTGACCAGGTTTGACTGGTAGATACTGGCTGCTGTACGCCGCTTGAACTCATGAACCTCAGCTGGGTTTGACCAAGATGGTGCCAACGATTCAGAGGCCGAAGCTTCAGTGGCGTGTGACGTTTGCAAACTTGTCCTATTATCACTGCCAAGCACAACCAACACCTGCCTAACAGCGATCATTACATGGTACTAGAATCAACCATTCACCAAATGGTGACACACAAATTTGATGCAGGAGCTGCATTGTATGTACCGTATGTATATATATACATATATACCTAAGCAAACCGTCACTCCTTTCCAGGCAAGGTGGTGCGGTGGCTGCTTGCAGTGAGATGCGAGGATAATTGCTTCACGTGGCCTCCTTTGGCGGCGCAGCCTCTGCAATCTCATGCTTTGCTGCCTGTGCCGCTTTGCATGCAGTGCGGTGGCTGGCCCAGTGCCGCCTCATGCACTCCTCACCGCAGTAGCGCACCTGCCGGCAGCCGCGGCACAGCCGCAGCCGCACGCCGCTGGCGGCCGCCTCAGTTGCGCTGCAGCCGGCGCATGCGCCAGCCGGCGCTGGCAGAGTGGCGGCAGGTGGCGCAGGCGGCAGCTGCTGCTCGTCCCGCTGCTGCTCCTGCTGCTGCTGCTCTTGCGGCGGCTGCTGCTGTTGTGGCTGCTGCTGTTGTGGCTGCTGCTGCTGCTGCTGCTGCCGCTGCTGCTGCCGCTGCTGCTGCTGTTGCTGCTGCTGCTGCTGCTGCTGGTGCTGTTGCTCCTGTTGCTGCCGCTGCTGACACCGGCGCTGCTCCGCCTCTTGAAGCCAGCCGCAAACCTGCTGTGCTACCCCCTGAATGCGCGCGTGCCCTCCTAGTGCATTGCTGCCACTGACCGGCATGCCCGGCCACTCCTCAGAGGCAAGCAGCTGCTCAAGCTCCCCAGCCAGGCCAGGTGCCGCGTCCAACATGGCCGTCGCGGCCGCCTTGCTGTCGCTGGAGTGGCGGAAGGCGGCCAACACAGCCTGGGTCAGGCCTTCTGGCCAGGGGGCCGTGCAGGTGCCGCTTCCAGGGGCGTGGCAGTGAGTCCGCATGATGCGGATCGCCTTCTGCATGGCCACCGCCGCAGCGGGCAGCAGCGCGTCGGCGATGATGCGTGCGTGATCTGGGTGCACCGATGGCTCTGACAGCAGATTGACAAACACAACAGCCGCTTGGTCTATCAGGGCGATGCAGGGATGGACGTTGCTTTCCTCATCCCAAGGCATGGTGCCTGAGGATGTATAAAGACTTGTGACATCGGCCAGGCCGCCGCTGGTGCTCTCATCAAAGCAAAGCTGTGCCATCAGGGCCTGGCGCGCTGTGGGCGAAGTGGCCACCAAGCGTGCAAGGTGCGCTGTCCTCTGGGCGTAAAAAATCGTGAAACTGCTCATAGCCCGCATCACGTTCAAAGCGCATTGTGTCCCTGCAACCCCAGGGCGCCCGATGAGGGACAGCAAGACGTGCACATTGGCTTCCCATGCCTGAGCAGAGACGGCTGTGCGCGACAGGCTCCGCAAGACCTGCACAGCGGGCAGCAGCATGTGCTCGCTGCCGTTGACCGCGCGGGCGCCCATCAGCAGGCAGCGCCGCAGCTGTTCAACTCCGCCAGCCCCCGCCAGCAGGCCTGGGACCGGGAGAGATGAAGGGGGTGCGCCAGGTGGGTGGGGTGCGCCAGGGGCGGGGGGAGGGTCAGGAGTTGGGTAGTTGATGCCTGAAAGATTTGGTTTTGCGGCTACAGCGTCAGCAGCCACCGCTTGCCTGCCTTTTGTGGTACCCCGGGGACATCAAGCGCCCTTTGACGCAGGCGTATTGGAACGCCGGGACTTGTAATAAACACACTGGCTGCTGCATCGCACCCACCTGCCGCGCGCTCCTTGAATGGGGGGCACAGCAGGACTATGGCAAGGGATGTCAACGCAAACAGTGCAGCCTTGGTAGAGGAAGATGCCGCCAGCCGCACGGCCACACGAATCAGGCTGGGCAGAGCGTCCACCACCTCGCGCATGGGCAGCTCCTCCACACGCTCAGCCACTGCCGCCGCCGCCGCCGCTGCCGTCGCCGCCGCCGCCGCTGCTGTTGCGAAGGGCGTGTCACACTCACGATCCACACAGGACCAGAAGCCGCCCGCTACAAAGGCCAAAAAGCAGGCGACCTCTTCCGGCGGCGGCGCGGCTGCATCTGCGGCGGCAAGCACCGCCGCGGCTGTGCGGACGGCTGCTTGGTTGCGGTGGGCCCGCATTTGGGCTGCTGGGCTGGCCGAGCACAACTGGTAGAGTGCCTCCATTGCCATCAACCTCGTATGCGACTCGCCAGGGTGGAGTACCAGCAGTGGAGGCGGTGCGTCAGCAGCGCCGGCCCCTTCAAAGCCGTGGCCCACGGCCTCCAGCAGCAGGTTTGTGGCGTCGCCGCCGTCGCCCGCGCCGCCGACGGAGAGGATGTCCTGTGTACACTTAGTATTAAGGCAGAACAGGAGCAGGAGGCCTACCACGATAGACCTGAGCAATACCGACTCGCCCCAGGGCACGGGGCCCGGGTGACGCCGCACCGCCGCCACCACGGCTGCGACCATCCCGGGGCAACTGGCAACCTGCACGCGTGGCACAAGGAGCAGGCACGCGGTGGGCAGGGCAAGCGGCAGGGCCGGGGTGGGGTGCCATGTTGCAACAGTATGTGGGGGTGGCGTGGGATGCTGCTGAGCACCCTCTGCTATCTGATTACGGTTTATGGGGCTCTGACCTCGAAGTTGGACGTGTCGCGGCCTCACCTGGCACAACCTGGGGCAGCAGCTCGGGCCACACAATCCTGGCTGCAGCAGTACGCCCAGCACTCTGGCGGCAAGTGTCGCCTGCGCCGCGTCCCCAGTCGTCAGCAGCTGCAGCAGGGTCCCAAGCTGTGTGTCCGGCAGTGTGCTGAAGGGATCAGCTGCAACCGCAGCCGTCAGCGCAGCCAGGGCCCGCTCAGCATCGCGGCGCGTGGATGCTGCGCCTGGCGCGCGCTCCAGCACGCGTGACAGGGCCAAGGCTCGGCTCAAGGCGCTTATGAGGGCCGGAGACGCCATCACGGGCATCAACGTGTGTTGTCGAGTCTCTGCCAGCGTCTTTCAGTGTTCGTGACCCCCGATGCTGGAATCGTGTGCTGAAGCCAATCGCAGTCAAGACTGCACCAATGGGCGTGATCTCTTTAGAATGTAATATTGTGAATCACCACCTGAGTGCTGGACAGGGGCGTTGGGCAGCTGCAGGGTTGATTGTCCAGGCATGCCCCAATGCTCGGGATTGCTCATGCTGGCGTGCTGTTTGCGACAAACGCTCAGTGGAAGCAGGAGTCCTTTCACACCATCACAGATGACTGGTAGCTATGTTGAGATGATAATGCGCGAGCTAGAGTAGTGCTTGCATGACTCAGCTGGGTGGATGCTGTTATTGTAATGCACAGCCGCGCCACACCCTCGCGGTCAACGCCCGGACCATCGACTGCCTTACAAAGTGTTGTTCACATACTTGACCGCATCGACTTGCACATGTTCACCAAGCGGACGGTTCACTCGGCTTTTTGTGCGGCAGCCTGTGCCGCCTTGCAAGCGGCGCGATGACCGCGCCACTGCCGCCTCATGCACTCCTCACCGCAGTAGCGCACCCGCCGGCAGCCACGGCACAGGCGCAGCCGCACGCCACTGCCGGCCGCCTCAGTCGCGCCGCAGCCGGCGCATGCGCCAGCCGGCCCTTGGAGAGCCGTGGCAGGTAGCACATGCAGCAGCTGCTGGAGCTGCTCGTCCCGCTGCTGCTGCTGCTGCTGCTGCTGCTGCTGCTGCTGCTGCTGAGGCATGCTCTGAGGCGGCTGTTGTTCCTGCTGCCTACGCTGCTGCAGCTCCTGCCGCTCCTGCTGTTGCTGTTGTTGCTGCTGCTGCTGCTGCTGCTGCTGCTGCTGCTGCTGCTGCTGCTGCTGCTGCTGCTGCTGCTGCTCTTGCTGCGGCTGCTGCCATCGCCGCTGCTGCTGTCGCCGCTGCTCCTCGTCTCGAAGGCGGCCGCAAACACACTGTGCTACCCTCTCAATGCGTGCGTGCCCTCCTAGTGCATCGCTGTCAAAGACCGGCATGTCCGGCCACTCCTCTGAGGCGAGCAGCTGCTCAAGCTCCCAAGCCAGGCCAGGCGCCACGTCTAACATGGTCGCCGCAGCGGCTTCGGGGTTGCTGGTGTGGTTGAAGGCGGTGTCCACAGCACGGGTAAGGTTTGCGGGCCAGGGGGCCATGCGGCTGGCGTTGTCAGGGGCGTCGTATTGGGCACGCACCATGCGAACAGCCTTCTGCAAGGCCACCGCCGCAGCGGGCAGCAGCGCGTCTGCGATGACGCGTGCGTGATCTGGGTGCACCAATGGCTCTGACAGCAAATGAACAAACGCAACACCCGCTTCGTCCATCACGGCAATGCAGGCATGGACGGGTCTTCCCTCACCCCCTGGCATGACGCTACCCGAAACAAGCACGACATCGGCTAGGCCACCACCAATGTTCTCATCAATGCGCAGCTGCGCCATGAGGGCCTGGCACGCTGCGGGCGAGGTGGCCACCACGTGCGCAAGCTCTGCAGTCCGCTGGTTGTCCGGAAACGTGAGATTGTTCATCGCCCACAACACCTCAAAAGCGCGCTGTGTTCCAGCAACCCCAGGGCGCCCGAGGATGGACAGCAATAGGTGGATGCTGGCTTCCCATGCCTGCGCGGCAACGGTCGTGCGCGTCAGGCCCCGCAGGACCTGTAGGGTGGGCACCAGCATGTTCTCGCTGCTGTCAACTGCGCGGGCGCCCATCATCAGGCTGCGCCGGAGCTGTTCAAACCCTCCTGCCGCTGCCAGCAAGCCTGGAATCCGAAGCGATGAAGCAGAGTGGGGTGCGCCAAGGGCGGGGGCGGGTCGGTAGGTGAAAACTTCAAAGCAAACAGATTCATTCATCGCAGCAAGAGCCGGCCAGCCTCGGCTGCCACGCACTGTCAGCCATTGCTGGTACCAGCGAGACATCAAGCGGTCCTGACTCAGGCGTTTGGCGACGGCAGCGTCAGGACTTGGTACTGCACTGGTTGCCGCGTTTACCCACCTGCCGCACGCTCCATGAATGGGGGGCACGTCAGCACCATGGCGAGGGATTCCAAGGCGTGCACTGCAGCCTTGGCGGAGGGCGCCGCCGCCAGCCGCAGGGCGACGCGAATCAGGCTGGGCAGAGCGTCCACCGCCTCGCGCAAGGGCAGCTCCGCCTCACGCTCAGCCACTGTTGCAGATCGTGTGTCACACTCTCGAGCCCCACCGGCCCAGAAGCCGTACGCCACAAACTTTAGAAAGCAGGCGACCTCTTCCGTCGGCGGCGCGGCTGCGTCCGCGCCAACAATTGCTGCCGCGGCTGCTCGGACGGCTGCTTGGTTGTGGCGGGCCCGCCTGCGGGCTGCTGGGCTGTCCGTGCACAGCTGATACAGTCCCTCCATTGCCATCAACCGCACATGTGACTCGTCTGAGCGGAGAACCAGCCGCGGCGGCGGTTCGTCAGCAGCGCAGGGCGCTTCAAAGCCACCGCCCACGGCCTCCAGGAGCAGGTCTGTGGCGTCGCCGCCGTCGCCGGCGCCGCCGATGGAAAGGATGGCCTGCATCCCTTCTGGATTGAAGCAGATTATGGACAGAATGCCTACCACGAAAGACCTGATTGGCACTGGCTCGCCCCAGGGCCCGGGGCCGGGGTAGTGCCGTGCTGTCGAGACCAGGTCTGGGACCATCCCGGGCCAATTGACAACCTGCACGCACGGCGCAAGGAGCAGCGGCATGTTGGCGGGGGATGGGGCAGGCGGCAGGACCGGGCCTGGGTGTTGTGGTCGGCAAGAGGGGGGCGTGCGAGTCGCTGCTGAGCAGCCTCTGCTCTCTGAGTATAATCTGCAAGGCTCTGATCAGTGAGACTGGCCGTGTCGCGTCCTCACCTGGCACAACGTGGGGCAGGAGTGCGGGCTGCACGCTCCAGGCTGCACCAGCACTAGCAGCGCCCGGGCGGCAAGTGTCACCTGCGCCGAGTCCCCACTTTTCAGCAGCTGCTGCAGGGTCCCAAGCTGTGGATCCGGCAGCATGCTGACGGGATCCGCTGCAACCGCAGCCTTGAGCTCAGCCAGGGCCCCCTCAGCATTGCGGCGCGTAGATGCTGCGCCTGGCGTGCGCTTCAGCACACGAGAGAGGGCCAAGGCTCGGTTCAAGGCGCTTATGAGGTCCGGAGACGCCATCAAGGTTATCAACGTTTGTTGTCGTTGAGTCGATCGCGGTTGGGTTCGTGATCTCCGATGCTGGAATCGTGTACGGGAAACCGCCGGTGAGGCTGCACCAACCAGAGTGAATTTGTTTACGTCGGATGACCAGCTGAGTGGTTGGCTGGTGTTTCGGGCACCTGAAGGGTCGATTGTCCTGGCATGCAGCATTGCTCGTGCTGGCGTGCTGCTTGCGACAATCGCACGGCGGAAGCAGTAGCCCTTTGTATTGTCACAGACGCTGGCTATGCATTGATGATCATGCGCGAGCTGGAGTACCGTATTGCTTGCGTGAATCCGCTGGGTGGGTGCTGGTTTCCTATTGCGAGGTCGCGCCACACCCTCATGGTCAACGCCCGCACCATCCACTGCCTTGCACAATGTTGTTCACATACCTGACCGCATCAACTTGCACACGTTTACCAAGCAGACGATTCACCCGCTTTGCTGTACGGATGCCTGCGCTGCCTTGCAGGCGGCGCGGTGGCTGGCCCAGTGCCGCCTCATGCACTCCTCGCCGCAGTAGCGCACCCGCCGGCAGCCGCGGCAGAGCCGCAGCCGCACGCCGCTGCCGGCCGCCTCGATCACACCACACCCGGCACACGCGCCAGCCGCCGGCTGCAGAGCAGCCGCGGATGGCGCAGGCAGCAGCTGCTGGAGCTGCTGGTCCCGCTGCTGATGCTCCTGCTCCTGCTGCTGCTGGGGTACGCTCTGAGGCTGCTGCTGCTGCTGCTGCTGCTGCTCCTG